GCAGCCATACATTCAGCTAAAATTTTTATGAATAGAAAAGAAGAAGAGAACTATATAGTGTGGGACAGCTGGCAATCTCTGCCACACAGAGTAAATCAATTCTTTTGGTGGATCTTCAGCAACAGCATCTTCTTTCTTTGGCGTTAGACAAGTTTAATGATTGAATTTCTGAATGGATGGGTGAAGTAGTTGGAATTTTGCTAGGAAGAGTGGATTAAATTATCAGACTCTAATAATTCTTCTCTTCTAAATGTACCTGAGTCTTCCTTAACAGCAGCGAATTGAGGAGTTTGGAAATATTTTTATGATCAGTTTTGGTCTTTATATTGCTTCCTTTATAGGTGAGAGATCCTTGCTGTTTGTTTGTGCTTGAGTTCTTAAATTTTTTATTGAAGTATAATTTAATAAATTCACTCATTGAATTTTATGTAAGTATGCAGTTTGATAATTTTTACTACATTTATACAATTGTGCACCTATCACACAATCCCATAATAAAATATTTTTTTCATCCAAAGTGTTACCCAGTTCCAAAGTCACTTCCACATTTTCAGGTATCTTTTCAGCAGCACCCCACTCTACTGGTATCAATTTACTGTGTTAGTCCATTTTCATGCTGCTGATAAAGACACACCCAAGACTGGGTAATTTATTCAGGAAAAACAGTCTAATGGACTTACATTTCCACGTGGCTGGGGAGGCCTCACAATCATGGCAGAAGGCAAGTAGGAGCACAGCCAAACCATATCATTCTGCCCCGGTCCCTCCCAAATTTCATGTCTTCACATTTCAAAATACAATCGTGCCTTCTCAACAGTTCCCCAAAGTCTTAATTCATTCCAGTATTAACCCAAAAGTTCAAGTCCAAAGTCTCATCTGAGATAAGGCAAGTCCCTTTCACCTCTGAGCCTTAAAGTGCCAAAATGACCTCCTTTGACTCCATGTCTCACATCCAGGTCATTCTAATGCAAGAGGTGGGCTCCCACAGCCTTAGGCAGCTCTTGCTCTGTGGCTTTGCAGAGCACAGCCCCCTTACATGCTGCTTTCACTGCTAGCATTGTCTGTGGCTTTTCCAGGCACATGGTGCAAGGTGTCAGTGAATCTACCATTTTGGGGTCTGGAGGACAGTGGCCCTCTTCTCACAGCTCCAGTTCCCCATTTGGAACTCCATGTGGGGGCTTCAACCCCACATTTCCCTTCCACACTGCCCTAGCAGAGGTTCTCCATGAGGGCTCCACCCCTGCAGCAAACTTCTGCCTGGACACCCAGGCATTTCCATACATCCTCTGCAATCTAGGTGGGGGTTTCCAAGCCTCAATTCTTGACTTTTGTGCATCTTCAGGACTAACAGCACATGAAAGCTACCAAGACTTGGGGCTTGCACACTCTAAAGCCATGGCCTAAGCTGTACCTTGGCCCCTTTCAGCCATGGCTGGAGTGGCTGGGATGTGGGGCATCAGTACCAAGGATATGTGAATCAGGGGGGAAGCACATGCAAAGCATCCTCCAAAAACACAGGAATCCAGTGCCGTCAGGCAGTGGCTGCACCACTGGCCATCTCCCTGAAGTAGGTGCTAAATCTTGAAGCTCTACAATAATCTCCTTTGACTCCATGTCTCACATGTAGGCTACATTGATGCAAGGGATGGGCTACCAAGGCTTGGTCAGCACTGCTCCTGTGGCCTTCAGGGCTCAGCTCCCATGGCTCCTCTCAAGGGCTGGCATTGAGTACCTGCAGCTTTTTCAGGTGCATGGTACAAGCTGCCAGTGGATCTAACATTCTGATGTCTGGCAGATGGTGGCTCTCTTCTCACAGCTCAACTATGAAGTGCCCTGGGAGATTCTATGTAGGGGCTTTAATCCTATATTTCCCCTCCACACTGCCCTAGTAGAGCTTCTTCATGAGGGCTCCACCCCTGCAGCAGGCTTCTGTCTGGACATCCAGGTGTTTCCATAAGTTCTCTGAAATCCAGGTGGAGGCTCCCAAGCCTCAACTTTTGCCCTCTGCACACTCACAGGCTTACCACCACACAGAAGCTGCCAAGGCTTAATGGTTTGTACCCTCTGGAGCAGTGGCCTGAGATATATCTGGAGCTCTTTTAACCATAGCTGGAACTGAAGCAGCTGGGATGCAGGGAGCAGTGTTCCAATGTTGCACAGGAGAGCAGGGCCCTGGGCCTGACCCAAGAAACCATTTTTCCCTCTAGGCCTCTGGGCCTGTGATAGAAGGGGCTGCTGTGAAGGTCTCTGACATGTCTTTAAGGTATTTTTCCCATTGTCTTGGCTACTATCATTTGGCCCCTCTTAGGCAAATTTCTGTAGCTGACTTGAGTTCCTTCCCTGAAAATGGGGTTTTCTTTTCTACCACATGGCCAGACTGCAAATTTTCCAAACTTTTATGCTATGCTTCCCTTTTAAATATAAGTTCCAGTTTTATGTCATTTCTTTGCTCATGAATATAAGCATATGCTGCTAGAAGCAGCCAGGCCACATCTTGAATGCTTTGTTGCATAGAAGTTTCTTCCACCAGATACCCTAAATCATCATTCCCAAGCCAAAGTTTCACAGATCTCCAGAGCAGAGGCACAATGCCCTCAACCTCTTTGCTAAAGCATAATGAAAGTCACTTTTGTTCCAATTTTCAATAAGTTCCTCATCTCCATCTGAGACCGCCTCAGCCTGGACTTCCCTGTCTACATTGCTACCAGCTTTTGATCACAACCATTCAATAAGTCTCTCAGAAGTTCCAAACTTTCCCTCATTTTACTGTCTTCTGAGTCCTCCAACTTGTTCCAATCTCTGCCTGTTACCCAGTTTCAACTCACTCACTATCATGAGAACAGAAAGGGAGAAATCTGCCCCCGTGATTCAATCACCTTCCACCAGGTCCTTCCTCCAATATTGGGGATTAAAATTCAACATGAAGTTTGGGTGGAGACACAGATCCAAACCGCATCAGTCTCATACTCTGTGTTCTCAGAAAGATGTTTTAAAACTATCCACTGGGTGTGGTGGCTCATGCCTGTAATATCAGTACTTTGCAAGGCTGAGGCAGGTGGATCAGTTGAGGTCAGGAGCTCAAGACCAGCCTGGCCAACATGATGAAACCCCATCTCTACTAAAAAAAAAAATACAAAAATTAGCTGGGCATGGTGGCATCCACCTGTAATCCCAGCTACTCAGGAGGCTGAGGCAGGAGAATCACTTGAACCCAGGAGGCAGAGGTTGCAGTGAGCCAAGATTGTGCCACTGCACTCCAGCCTGCAGCCTGGGTGACGAGAGAGACTCTGTCTCAAAAAACAAAAACAAAAAACAAAACAAAACAAAAAAAACTATCATAGGCCTTTCTTTCTACAATCAAGCCAAATCAGTTCCCTTTGTGGATGCCAGAATAAACTGCAACCAGAAATATCCCCCCTTGGTCGTTTGAAAGAAACGTCTAACAGAAATTTATGTTGGGGCTTGAAAATCAATCAGAGATCACCTGCCCCCAACTCAGGGTTTAGTTATATCAACTAATCAGAACTCAGTGCTATTGACCAATCAGAACTCAGCTGCACTGACCAATCAGAACTAAGTTTTTCCATACTTCACTTGCATAAATAGACCTGATTGGGAATCTGGGCAAAGGAACTTTTGCTATAATACCCAAGCCCTCTCTTTGTTCTCTGGAATGCACCTTCACTTTAAACTGAAGGCTGCATCTCTCCAGTTTGCAATCTGCTCTCTGAAATAAAGTCTCTTTCTTCCAAATTCCTTTTCAGAGAACTTTTGTTCACAATGTGAAGTCAAGGTTTTCAGTACCTAGGTGAGTAGGTAGGTAGATAGATAGATAGTTGTCTTAGTCCATTTTCTGCTGCTATAATAGAATACCACAAACTGGGTAATTTACAAATAATGGAAGATTATTTGGCTCATGGTTCTGGAGGCTAGAAAGTCCAAGAGCATGGTACTGGCATCTGTCTGGGTCTTCTTTCTGCATCATAACATGGGTGGAAGACGGAAGTGTGCACACAAGGCAGAGAAAGAAAATCATCCAAACTCATCTTATTTTCAGAAACCCACTCCCACAATAACCAACTCACTCCTTCAATAATGGCATTAATCCATACATGTAAGGCTTCACCCCCATAACCTAATTACCTCTTATTAGGCACCACCTCCCAACAGTGTTGCATTGGGGATTAAGTTTCTAAAAAACTCTTGGGGGATGCATTCAAACCCTAGCAATACTTAAACATGAATATGTTTGTGTGCACACATATGTATATGTTCCCTCTCTCACTGAGAGCACTTGGGAGCAGCAAGATCCCAATAATAATGCAAACACCTAGGACTCAGATCTTGGCTTCTAAATACCATTACCCCATTAAAAGGAAACAATCTCCTTGGAGAGATGGCTGACTTCAGGGCTGATGCATGGAAAATACAAGATGAGCCAAGCTGGTTTGAAAAGGGTACCACCTGCTAAACAAGTGACAATTTGAGCATCAAAATAATTATTCAAATAGTATTTAATAATTATTAAAATATTCATTAGTATGGACTTCATATCTTATTTGATTGGTTATTATCATAAACATATTATTATCATAAAGATATGAGTCCATACTAATGTATGAGTCCATACTATTGTATTGTCCCACAAGTCATATGTTGAAAGCCTAACTCCCAATGTGTTTGTAGATATGTATTTAGAGATAGGACCTTTATGAAGTAATTAAGGTTAAATGAAGTCATAAAAGTGGAGCTTTATAAAAAAATAAAGAGACTTCTCTCTCTCTCTGTCTCTCTCTGTCTCTCTCTCTCTCTCTCTCTCTCTCTCTCTCTCTGCCATGTGAGGACACATCAAAAAGACTGCCATCTACAAGCAAGGAAGAGAGCCCTCACCAGAAACCAAACCATGCTGGACTTTGATCTTGAACTTTCAAGATTCCAGAACTGTGAGAAACTTAATTTTTGTTGTTTAAGTCACCCACTCAATGGTATTTTTTTTTCTTCCATGTGTTCAAGGCATGAACTAAACATGGGCACAGACCAAAAGCCAAGCTGGAATAAACAAGGAGTTGCTTTGTCCCTGGGTGGTATGAGATGGGCACCACCAACAAGATGCTACTCTACAGGTCACGAACATCTATGGTTTTTTATGGTAACCCTAACTGACTAAAACATTGATATTAATTAATTTGTTAATGGGTAATACAATATTTACATATTTTCATGTTACCTCCCTAAAAAATTCTACTAATTACCAAAGGAAATTATAGTAGAGATGCCTAGAAGACACCCCTAAATCAAGTGAGGAAAGTGAGCATTGTCAGTAATCGAACAAGCTGAAATTATACACCACCTGAGAGTATCTCATAAGAAGAATAAAGCCTCACTTGTGTGATATTCCTGCTGAATTTAACCACAGGAAATATCAGGTAAGGCCAAATAGGGACATTCTACAACATAAGCTGGTTTGTAACCTTCAAACATGTTTGGGTCATGCATCAAAACACAGGCAACAAAAAAAATAGACAAATAGGACTTCATAAAACTAGAATGCTTCTGCACGGCAAAAGAAACAATCAACAAAATGGAGGAAAGAAACTGTAAAATGGGAGAAAATATTTGCGAACTATTCATCTGACATTACTAATGTCCAAAATATATAAGAAACTCAAACAACTCAAACAAAACAAAAACAACCCCATTTAAAAGTAGGCAAAAGCTGAGTCTCCTCACTCATACACAGGTGCTAAAAAATGTGTACACATGGACATAGACAATAGAATAGAGACTCCGAAGGGAGATGGGATGAGAGGTGGTAGATGTTGAGAAAGAAAGTTAATGGGTACAATGCACATTATTCGGGTGATAGATATCTTGAAAGCCTTGACTTAACCAATACACAATCTATGCATGTAATCCCATGAATTTGTACAAATTTTTTAAAAAGTGATTAGGTCATTGTATTAGAGTTCTCTAGAGGGACAGAACTAATAGGGTATATGTATATAGGATATATATGTGCATATATATAAAGGCAAGTTTATTAAGTATTAACTCACATGATCACAAGGTCCTGCAATAGGCCGTCTGCAAGCTGAGGAGAGCTGAGAGCCAGTCTGAGTCCCAAAACTAAAGAACTTGGAGTCTGGTGTTTGAGGGCGGGAAGCATTCAGTATCAGAGAAAGATGCAGGTTGGGAAGCTAGGCCAGTCTAATCGTTTAACGTTTTTCTGCCTGCTTTATACTCTAGCCACCCTTGCAGAATTAGGGTGATTAGATGGTGCCCACCCAGATTAAAGGTGGGTCTGCCTTTCCCAGCCCACTGACTCTAATCTCCTTTGGCAACACCCTCACAGACACACCCAGGATCAATACTTTGGATCTTTCAATCTAATGAAGTTGACATTCAGTATTAATGATAACAGGCATGAAAGTCAAGGAAAGACTGAAGAATTGTTCCAGACTGAAAGAGGCTAAGAGACATGACAACCAACGGCCACAAATGGTTCATAACTGAATCTTTGACTACAAACAACAGTATCTGGTGAATTGGTTAAACATAAATAGGATCTAAGATTAGATAGTAGAAATGTAACAATATCAGTTTCCTGATGTTGATGGCTATATTGTGGCTCTGTAAAAGAATGTCCTTATTAATAGGAAATACAACAAAAGTATTCAAATGTGTTAGGACATCATGTTAGCAACTTGGACTCTATTTCAAAAAAAAGGTTATGATTTTTTGCAAATTTTCAGTATATTTGAGATTGCTTCAATATAAAAAAGCAAAGTACATAATAGAATGTATCATAAAGCAATATTCACGTTAAAAGGGGACACTGAATAGCTCTAGAAAAAATACCCCATAAACCAGCAATATTGCTTGTCTCTAGGGAAGAAAACAGGAAAACAGGAGGCAGTCCTGAGGGAGAGGGACTTACATATCTTTATTTTTTGAGACAAAGTCTCACTTTTTTGTCCAAGTTGGAGTGCAGTGGCGTGAACATGGCTCACTATAGCCTCAACCTCCGGGTCTCAAGCCATCCTACCATCTTGGCCTCCTGAGTAGCTGGGACTATAGGTATTCAACACTATGCCTAGCTAATTTTTTTTTTAATTTTTTGTAGAGACATGATTTTGCCATTTCACCCAGGCTGATCTCAAACTCCTGAACTCAAGCATTCACCTACCTTGGCCTCCAAAAGTTCTGGGATTACAAGTGTGAGTCACTGTGCCCGGCCAAGACTTATATTTCACTGCATACCCCTTTTATTGAAGCCTTTTTTTTTTTTTTACCATATGTATGTACTTTTAATTAAAATTTTTAAATTAATATTTTAAAATAAATACATATTTTTAATGTCATCAGAAATTTGATTTCTGGGTATGTATTAATCACTTATATAAATGTACAATGAGGTATTTAGAAGAATATTGATTGTAGCATTGTTTTCAGTAATGAAAAATGGAAAACAAAGGTTTACTAATCTAAAAAGGCATAAATTTAATGGGCCATTATGCATCAGCTAAAAAGTACAAGACCTACATGTATTAATGTGCATAGATTGATAAACTATCTTGAATAAAAGGGGTATGCTGCAGAATATGAAAATAGAATATATTTTGTGTTAGAAAAAAATCAGGCCAGACAAAAAACAAAATCAGGCCAGGTGCAGTGGCTCATGCTTGTAATCACAGCACTTTGGGAGGCTGAGGCAGGCAGATCACCTGAGGTCAGGAGTTTGAGACCAGCCTAGCCAACATGGTAAAACCCCATATGTACTAAAAATATAAAAATTAGCCTGGCATGGTGGCTCATACCTATAGTCCCAGCTACTCAGGAGGCTGAGGCACAAGAATCTCTTGAACCCAGGAGGTGGAGGTTACAGCAAGCTGATATCACTCCACTGCACTCCAGCCTGGGCAGCCTGGGCAACAGAGTAAGAATCAATCTCCAAAAAAAAAAAGAAAATCAACTGTAGAATATATGTGTAGTTTCTGTAATTCCTTACTGCTCAAGTTAAAAGATTTTTTATTTCCCCAATTGCTCCTATAGTTAACATCACTATAGCAGAACCTAAGATTTGTCTTTTTAGATGTATTTCAGATTTTTGCATTCAGGCAACTGACTGACACCACCTGGACTCATGGCTCATGATCACCTGGTCCTGTGGCCCCACCCCCAGAGGTGGACTCAGTGCATGAAGACCATTCTCCACGCCCCCGTCACTTTATCCCTAGCCAATCAGCAGCACTTATTCCCTAGTCTGCTACTGTACTCCAGTCTGGGTGACAAAGTGAGACCCTGTCTCTTAAAAATATATTAAAATAGGACCTGGTACCGTAGCTCACACCTGTAATACCAGCACTTTGGGAGGCCAAGGAGGGTAGATCATGTGAGGTCAGGAGTTAGAGACCAGGCTGGCCAACATGGTGAAGCCCCGTCTCTACTAAAAATACAAAAATTAGCCAGGCATGGTGGTGCATGCCTGTAATCCCAGCTATGCAGGAGACTGAGACAAGAAAATCACTTGAATTTGGGAGGTGAAGGTTGCATTGAGCCGAGATTGCACCACGGCACTGGCACTATATATATATATATCTGCATATACATACACATATATATATAGAGAGAGAGAGAGAGAATGAAATGAATGAATGAATGAATATATATAATGAAATGAAAATACTTCATGCTGGGATAAAGGATAGAAAAACTGTAGGAGTGTCAATTAACATAATTCCTTAAGAAGATAATTTATTGCCATGTATGTACCTATGTAACAATCCTGCATGTTCTTCACATGTACCCCAGAACCTGAAATGCCATTTTAAAATATATATATATATATATATATTTTTTTTTTTTTTTAAAAGAAGATAATTTGGCAACAATCTCCAGAGGCCTTAAAATTTTTACCCTTTAAATTTATAATTTTACTCCTTGAAATTTATACTAAGGAAATAATATAAATGGAGAAGAAGCCTTTTACACAAAACAGTTCTTTGTAAGTTCACCTACAGAACTTACAAAAACTCCAAGGCAAGAATAATAAATTCTGAAAAAGAGTAAGAGGAGATTTCCCTGTCAAATATCAAAACTGTAAAACTATAGGTACTAAAACTATGCCGTGCCGGCACAGTTTTCAATTCGATTGTGGTCAGAGAACATACTTTTTAAGGTTTAGAAGATTTTCCTTCTTTCTCAAGATGAAGGAGAGACCCTTACCATGGGACTCTCCCTGACAGCCCTCGTGGGCCTGCACTACCTTCTGTGCCAGTAGTGAGACACGCAGGCGGTCAGCCTCCCCTGAGATAACTACTTCTTCATGGGCTGTGACTCAGGCTTCGGGAACCTGCTGGCCAGAGAGCTGGATACGCAAGGCTTGAGGGTGCTGGCTATGTGTCTGATGGAGAAGGAGGTCAAGCAGCTGAGGGGCCAGAATTCAGACAGGCTGGAGACGGTGACCCTGGACATCACCAAGACAGAGAATGTCACTGCAGCCACCCAGGGAGTGAAGGAGTGCATGGGGGACAGAGTATGGTGCAGGGATTGGATGGCCAGGGCAGTGGGGGAGTCTGTCCTTCAGACAAATTGCTTTGCCTGAAAAATGTCTTTGATTAGCCAGATAATGTTCCAGGTACAAAATATTAGGGATTAGCTTAGCCATATGCTGGGGATGTGTTTTCATTGCTGACAGATACATTATGTACGATGACTCTTCTTAGGACTGACAAATACAAGCATTTTTATGAGAACAGCGAATGAATGCTTGGAATCGAGGTTGCTCTGAAATATTCAGGTTGTGTGGTATGTGTGTATATCTGGGTAGAAAGAGGGAATGAATGAAAGATAGGGAGGTATAGATAGTAAAGGAATAGAAACTGGTAACTGTGGTTCACAAGAACAGTGAACCTCAAAAATCCAGGGCAAGGTCGGGCGTGGTGGCTCACGCCTGTAATCCCAGCACTTTGGGAGGCCAAGGTGGTCAGATCACGAGATTAAGAGATTGAGACCATCCTGGCCAATACAGTGAAACCCCATCTCTACTAAAAACACCAAAAATGTAGCTGGGCATAGTGGTGGGCACCTGTAATCCCAGCTACTCAGGAGGCTGACACAGAAGAATCGCTTGA